AGATAAGTCCCTGTGGGATTTGCCAGCGCTCACAGTGGGGCCTCAGCTCTCCAACACTCAGAGAGCCAAATGAAAAGGAACATCAAAACACGGGCTGATTTTGGGGTCAGCCGCTGAGATTTACACATAAAGGCAGGAAAGTCGTGCAAGATGTGGTGGAGCATGTGGGCGTGTGGGTGTGTGTGTGTCAGCATGAATTAATACACGATTACTGCTTGAGGAAGAGCGTGTGAGTTTGGCTGCTGTCATTTGGCAGTAACATTTAATATGCAAGTTGCACATTAACTTGCGCGTGTGTGTGTGTGTGTGTGTGTGCGTGTGACTCCGACTCGACTGTATGTGAAAAACGGAAAGCGGTTGTGTGTGTGTGTGTGTGTGTGCATGCTCTTCTTCCTATGAGAGAATCGTAAAAATATGAGCTTGTTAATTTCAATTGTGGAGCTGTTCTTGTTGTGGTGAAGAGGGAGGGCTTTGCAAAAGCACTGAAGTGGCCAACCAAGAGCGTAAGAAGCTGCTTTGCTCAATACCAGCGTTCGCTTTGTTCTCTGGCTCTTGTTCTCAGTTTTCCCCCCTTCAAACTATTTTTACAGATCAACTTATTTATTTAGTTTAATTCCCCCTGTTTCTCTCATCCATTTTCCACTGTGATTTCCCCCCCTTAATTTGTCATCAGTGGAGGAAGTGTGCCATGACAAAGATCAAAAACCCAGAGGAAGAGGAGTAGAAAGGGGGAGAAGCGAAGGATGCAGAAAAATCTTGAAAAAGAAAAATAATCAGAACGGAGAATGAGAAGAAAGCTCGGCTTTGAAGCGGGTGGACAACAAAAATAACAGCAGAGACACGGCGAAAGGCCCGATTTTCTCTCGAGCTCCTTTCTTCTTGCTTTCTGGAAATGAGATCCAGACCCGAATAAAAGAGGGATTGGTAATGAAAGGAGATGGAGTCGGGGGAGGATGGAGGGATAAAGGGATCTCTTACACTCATTTGACTCACACATCAAACCATAAGCCTCCCGCGACGGTCAAATGCCACAAGTCCGCTTTCTGCTAATTGCTGCCACCATCCATCTCTAATAGCAGGAGGAGAGAGGAGACTTTTGAACAAGAACATGCGTTTTATACCATGGGAAAACTCATGGACAGATGCACACATGCATGTACAGTGGCCCCAAAAAGTATTTGGACACTCAATTGACACTTAAAAAAGCATGCTTTTTCGAAATCAATAATAAAAGTATGAAACCTAATGGCAACCAACTCTTTTTTTAGTGGATGTATGAAGTAATTTTAAACAGGTGTCTTAGCAGTGCTACTAACATTTTTTCAGGGTGAAAGTAGCATAGTTACTGTGTAGTGCAATTACTCTACTGTTTTATTGTGTGGGCTAAGAAATTAATGAAATGTACTCATCTTAAGAGTCTTCTGTCAAATCATTCAAGTGAATTGATTCATCCTAAACAGTTCTCTTTGTCTCCTAGCAGTTGCAACACAGTGAAACTTAAAATTAAAAAACAAAGTAAAACTTTTCATTTGACATTATCACAACGTGCACTTTTCAAAAGTGTTCTTGCATGAGTTAAGAAGTCAAGAAACTGTACTCTCTTTAAGTGGCCTTTTATTTTATTAATTTTATATTGTTTGCGAGAAAAGTGTTTTTATACTTTTAAGATTGGAAATACACGACAAATGCACATTCAATACAATTAAGCACATTTATTTTTCTCAATGGCCTTTAAGGTAGCATCAAAGTAGTTAGCTTCTTTTTGTTTGTAGCTTATAGCTTACTACTTTTTCAAAACAACAGCTCGACTGGAATTATAATTAACTTGTAAGCTACAGTTTTAATTAGCTTCCCCCAACACTGCCTGGTATAGTTCATCACTATGAAAATGTTCCACTAACATCTGATAACTCATAAGTATTCAAACATGGGTTTGTCTTTATTTTGAACATCATATCTGTTTTTTTGTTGTTGTTTTTTTCTTATGGGGTCACCGCACCTAGATATAATTGCATCAGAGAGGCTGCCTGTCCAACACAATTGCACTGGCACGAACATATACACACTAGGAAACTATATAATTGCATACGGCCCCATGGAATCAAAGCAGCGGGCTAACAGGAAGGCAGAGGGTGGGTCGGGTATTGTGTGATGCAGGGCATGCTGCTGCAGCTCTCGGGTCAGTAAGGCACCGTTCCTGACAGCAAACTCCTGCCAGGCGCTTGTAATTCGAATTACCATGGCTACTCTCGCCCTACAGCTTCCCACGGTATAGTGGATGGGGGTGAACACCTCTGTGTGTGCGAGTTTACATGTACGTGCTTAGCACTATATAGTGTGAAGTGAAAAGTTTCTTTTGAAAATGCAGCGCGTCTGACATGAGAAACCGTGATGCTGTCATCCTTGAGGAGATCCTCTGTTCGGACACTCAGTGGCTAAATCCTCTCTTAACCTCTCTTCATCTCTCCCCAGAGGGCATCAGTTCATGGTCACTATCAGAGCTGCTTTGTCCCTCAGACTCAGGAACGCAACTAACACAGAGACTCAGGGGGAGACTGAGATTAGTGGTCAAGTAATATGTTCATTAACAGTCGATTCTGTAACACTTTATTTTGATGGTCCCTTTTGAACATTCTGTTGACTACAAGTAACTTTGCAACACGTCAAATAACTCTTATTATAGTAGTAGATTGTCGGCTAAATATCTTTTAAATCTTTATTTTGATGCTCCCCAGCAGATATTCTACTGACTACACTGTAAAAAAAATCTGTAGAAATTACAGTATTACTGGCAGCTGTTTGCCAGTAACTTACTGTAGTTTTAAATTGATGTTAATTACTGGCAACAGTTTGTTCAAAGTTAAATGAACATTAAACATTAACAAGTCTTTATCTTTACAGAATAAAACTAAAATAACAGCCTCATGCAAAGCATTCTGGGAACCAAAATCTGAAGGAAAAAAACAGAAAACGGTTGATGAAGATTTCTGGTTCCCAGAATGCTTTGCATTAGATTGTTATTTTATAATTTTATTCTGTAAAGACAAAGACTTGTTAATGTTTAATGTTCATTTAACTTTGAACAAACTGTTGCCAGTAAATATACATCAATTTAAATCTACAGTAAGTTACTGGCAACCAGCTGCAAAACTACAGCAATTTTTTTACAGTGTATAAGTAACTTTGCAAATACATGTCAACTTACTCTAACCCTATACTAATACTACTCTAATGAGAGTTATAGACACAGGTGCAACGGTGCTTATAGTCAACAGAACGTGTTAAAGGGACCATCAAAATGAAGTGAAACAGTTGATTCTTAAAGGGATAGTTCACCCAAAAATGAAAATTCTGTCAGTATTTACTCACCCTCATGTTGTTCCAACCCCGTAAGACCTTCGTTCATCTTCGGAACACGAATTAAGATATTTTTGATGAAATCTGAGAGCTGGATCACTCCTCCATACTAGTCCATAGGCTTCTTCAGTGATTGAACTTGCCGGCTTATTAAAGACATCGTTAAAATAGTCCAAGTGACAACAGTGGCTCAATCTTAAGTTTATCAAGCGACGAGAATACTCCGAAGATGAACGAAGGTCTTACGGGGTTGGAACAACGTGAGGGTGAGTAAATACTGACAGAATTTTCATTTTTGGGTGAACTATCCCTTTAAAGGTGAAGTGGGTAAATCTGTCACTAGCACTAGCAAACAGAATAATACTGGTAGCTTCCCTAACAGATTGAACAAATAATCCCGCCTCAAACTCTGCTGTGTAGATGCTACAACAAAGAGATTCTGAATGCAATGGTATTTGGATACAAAAAGTATTTGGACACAACCACACTCAAAAAAGCACTTTCAGAAACCAGCTGGTGTTGCAGTGATTTTAGTCTTTGTATAAAGGCACAGAGTGAATTTTCACAGAGTAACCACATGTATAGTTTATCACATTGAGAATGAAGGTTTGAGTGTTCAAACATGTTTTTCGTAACTGTGAACAATATCACTACTGTTTGGGATCAATAACTTTTTTTAATGAAAGACACTTTTATTCAGCAAAGATGCATTAAATTGATCTAAAGTGAAAGTAAAGGTATTTATACTGTTGCAAAAGATTTCTTTTTCAAATAAATGCAGTTTATTTGAACTTTCTATGCATCAAAGAATCCTGGGGGGAAAAAAGTTAAAAGCAGCACACATGTTTTCAACATTGATGACAATAAGAAAGGTTTCTTGAGCAGCCAATCTCAGCATATTAGAATGATTTCTGAAGGATCATGTGACACTGAAGACTAAAGTAATGATGCTGAAAATTCAGCTTTGACATCACAGGAATAAAACACACATGCTAAAATCAAAATCAAATAGAATGTGTCCAAATACTTTAAATTCAAATGTATTATTTATCTAATTTAAAGAAAGCAGAAGCTCACTTTTCAAGCAAAACATTTTTTTAAAAATGTAAGTATGAAACAATAGATAGGCTGATAAAAAATACTGAGACAATTTCTGGTTGCCAAATGTTAGTGGAACTCAGAACACCTGTGTGAACTACATACACCTAAAATCACTTCCACACCAGTTAGGTAAAAGTAATTGCAAAAATGGCTAGAAAGGTTTTAACATCATTTATTTGCAGACTGGATTTTATATTTTGTATCTAACACTATGACATTCATAGAGCTTTAAGTGTGGCTTAAGTGCCCATATACTTTTTTGGCGCCACTGTATGTGTGCATGTGGGTCGAAATCCAAGACACTATTCCCACAGCGTTCTTCCTATTGTCCTGGGAGAGAGGGAGGGGAACTAATTAAAAAGAGTGGAAGAGAGGAGACAGAGAGAAACAGAGACAGAAAGAAGGAAAGGGGGGTCGGGTAAAGATAGAGCAAGATGAGACAGTGGAGAGAAGAGGCTAATTGAAAGGAGAGAAATGACAGAGAGAGAAAAAGAAGGGAGGGCTGATGAGGGGCTGGGAGGGAGGGAGTGTGGGAGGGTAAGGAAGAGGGAGCCAAAACTGGCAACTTTTCCAAAGTGCCCAAGTTCAGTCACTTGTGCTGCTGCAACAGAAAGCAAGAAGACGAGTGTAGCCAGGGTGACCGAGCGGTAGAAAAAGCCAGGAAAAGTGAGAGAAGACAGGAGGAGGACTGTCATTCTCTGCCTTCAAGTCTAGGGGGTCTAGATATGTCAAAACACGGCTACACATAAACGCAGAAACAAGGACCAGGCTTAGTCAGCAAGAGAGGTCTTTTAAAGACTCCCAAGCAGCGTGCTTGTATTGTGGACGGATGATAGAGGGAGAAATAGAGGAGAAGAAGGTGGAGAGGAAAAAAGGGAAACAGGGAGGGGCGTGCTCGCATTAGAAGGTGGCTGCTTTCCTTACTGTTGCATTTGAAGGACAGAGGAGGAATCCATCATCTGAGATCATCTCGACAGGACCGCACGTCTCCATCGCTCCATCGATTCAACCTCCCCTTGCAGGGATAGAGGTGTGGCGATGAAGAGACCTCATGACTACAGTTCCCCGGACTCGGACACAGACGAACTGATCGATGTCGGACAGGAGGACAGCTACTGGTGAGGACCTGGGGTGTATAATGTGCTCAGTGGCGATGACATGGGTATATATATAGCTGTCAGTCGCTCTACATGTAGAGCTCACACTGCAGCTCAGAAAGAGTTTAAGTTTTATTCGAAATTCCCAAGCGACATCTCTTTACGGTGCCAAAATTGCAGCTTTGATGGTCAAAATGCAAGGTGTTTTTTTTGAGAGCTGTATGTTCGACTATACATGGCCGTTCAGGGTTTATCATGCACTCTGCTGTTTATAACAAGATATGAAATGTTTAACATTCATAAAACAAGCTATACAAATGCTGTATGTTTTTATTAAATTTGTTGGCATTTGCCAGGATAAGCAATTCTGCTAATTTGGCCGTTTTAATGTGTCTGTTACACATGTGTTTACTATACTATAGTATTAAATGATGCATAATTACTAGCAACCAACACTAAGCCAAACTCGGTTACACTTTTTATTTTAAGGTGTCCATGTTACAATAATAATTAACATGTACTTACTATAGGGTTAGAATTGGGGTTTGGTTTAGGATCAGTTGCATGTAATTATGCATAATTTAGTTATTACTACAGTAACTATGTAACGTGCAACAAGGACACTAAATAAGACCCTAAATTTATATATGTACTTGTTGGTAATTAATATTACTCAGTACTTATTTGTGTAATTACACTGTAACAAGGACACCTTAAAATAAAATGTGACCACAATTTATTTTTTATTGTGCTATCTATGTTTTTCATGAGGCATCAGAATTCAGCCAGGTTTGCTTATTTACATGTTTAAAATAGGAGGACAGATCCTGCATGAGGGGACAGTGAAGACGTGTCGAACAAACGTTTGAGAAAACACCAAATTGCTAATATTACAACCAATATTCTACAGAAACCGTCTTGTTGTTGTCCCTCCCTAATTTAAATGGACATTGACACACTAGCGCATACCAAGTCACCAGAGCGCAGTGACACAGGAGTTTATGTGACATGCACGTTGTCAAAATCACAAGTAGGGCCACCATCAAGCAGGACGGCTGATAGAGGCCCATTACGATCTTATTTGACATTCTTGAGAGGCGTATCTTTCTATTGCTGTGCCAGTGCCACTGACAAGCATAAAGCTCAGCATGCTTCCTCCTCTGTCCGTTTGCATTTTCTCTCGGTCATTTCGTCTTTTTGATATTTCAGTAAAGCTGCGACACAAATCAAGTGCAGACTGAAGACGCATGCAACTGCCATTTGGTCCTTTTGAACTGCGCCCTACAATGACCAATCGTTTCTCATCTTATTGCCTTTGAAAACTCTCATCCAGAATGCAAAAGCTCTAGTGTCTATACAAGAGTTTATTCCTGTAACTAATTTTCTTTTTGGACTGTACTCTTTCCCTCTAAACAAACGGAATGTTTGTGAATTAAGCCTATTAATGGTAAAAGGAGTTACAATGATGTGATATAAAAATAATAGTTATGCGTGGAAGTCAAAGTAAAAGCAAAAACAAACAGTGTCATTCTGCTGGCAGAGCAGAGAGTGCCCATGCAAACCAGATCCACATTGAAGAATAATACAGAGTATTGATGTGCTCAAAGAGCACGCAAAAGCCACTATTTCAGCCTGCCCTGCGGATATGTAATCATCATGTCTTTTGAGCTTAAAAAGAAAATGCTTTCGTACGATGCGAAAATCATAACATATCTGCCATCTGACAATAATGTCCAAAAACGCGTTAAACCAAAATAATCTTGTTTTCTGTTTACCCCGGCGCTCCCGTGTCTAGCTGTGCCCCAAGACAAATTAGATTGGGTTTGATGATGTGCAACAGCGTTTCTGCGTTGTATTAAGTACAGTAATGACAACAATATGCATTGACATCAAAGCTTTAATCTGTCCCCTTCCCCGCTCGCTCTTTCTCTTGCTCAGCCCTGTCACTGGGTCCATGTCTCCAGGCAGTACCTCACAGATCCTGGCGCGCAAGAAGAGAAGAGGGGTGAGTTTACGTCAATCCAGCTCTGTTTTCCCCCTGCTTGTTCAAGAACAGACCAAATATATAATTCATATATGATCTCGCTACAAGGTCTCTTCTGTAAATGCCTGTAATATGACCCTCTGCATGCAGCAACATGCATTTTTTACAGTTTGCGCCCTCTTGTCTGACTTTGATTTGTGTTTTCCTATTTTGACTTGTTATTTTTTCCAAAATCTGATCTTAAGAATGCTGTGACTAGGCCTCGGCCACAAAAATAATTCAGTTAGCAAATGCTTTCCACTGCGAATCGTCGTTCCGTCTTTAAATTGATTCCGCTGGATTCCTCAGATAATTGAGAAGAGGCGCAGGGACAGGATCAACCACAGTCTGTCGGAGCTCAGGAGACTGGTTCCCAGTGCCTTCGAGAAACAGGTAAGACGATCAGACTGGCTCAAAGCAGCTGAGTTTTATGTACAAGCTACTAGTTTTAAAACTAAAACAAAATTGTAATAAAAACCAGCACCGTCTCCCCCTTCTGACCAGGGCTCCTCTAAACTGGAGAAGGCTGAGATTCTTCAGATGACAGTGGATCATCTGAAACTCCTTCATGCCATGGGCGGCAAAGGTGAGAGAAGATATGGAGCAAGAAATTTCAGTTGCACTCTATTTCACAGTGCGAAAGTGGGTAATATAAGGTAACTACAGGGGTTAAGGTTAGGTTTAGGGGTAGGTTCAGAGTTAGTACCTAGTTATTACCCAGTTATTGCAATTACTATAATAAGTACATAGAATGTACATGGGGACTGTAAAATAAAGTGCTACCGAAATTTCAGAAGAGCTTTCATTACAGTATATTGCTACTATTATAATTGCTCATACTTTAGGTTATGGATTTGAACACGCCCCTAACCTCAATTATTCAACTTAAAGGGATAACATTTTTAATTCTGTCATCATTAACTCACCCTCAAGTTGTTCCAAGCCTATATGAATTTCTTTTTTCTGCTGAACACAAAAATATAACCAAACAGTTGATGGATCCCATAGTGGAAGTCAATAGGCCCTGGGCCTGTTTGGTTATCCATATTCTTCTAAATATCTTTTGGGGGGGGGGGGGGGGGGGATTCAGGGAACCCTAGGGGGTTCCTGTGACATTTCAGAAAGAAAGAAAAATGTCAAATTTGCAGAATTAGATTTTTGTTCTGCTTTGTAAAGAAATCATTAAAGGTGCAAAACGCAAGTCTCTGAGTTTTTGCAGAACTACGCCCCCTCTGGCGACAAGCGAAACTGCAACCAGAGTTCATGGACCATTCACGGGAACAATTTACTATTTTTACCGAAAAAGACAATATAGCCAATGCAACGGCGTTCTTCCTTGTTGGTCAATGACATGAACACCTTAGCATGTTAGCAATGGACACAAGGCTAACGTTACCGGTAGGCCATACACAAAAACATAGTTAGCATCTTTAATTGGATATGTTTTATGTTTCATGTTGTACTATTCTTCCGAACACAATTCCTAGTTTATGAAACTGTTCACTAACAATGGTAGTAAAACCAATTCTGATTGTACATGTATCTAGCTTACGCTAAAGCATTACACGTTTTACGCATCGTCATTTGTTGTCATATATAGATTGGCTGTATCAAACATTTGAGACTGGGCTATATCTTACCGTTTTATCAAGAAAAAAGCCAACTGAGGATCCCGTTTGAGACCAAGAGCAGACCGGAGATCTTTCCATTTTTTGAATGCCTTCCCGAGGTTGACTCTCGTCTTACTCCGACGCCTGTCTGACTCCAATTTGGACCTTTTGGTGGCACTAGACAAATTTTTTCTTTTCTTTACTTTACGTGGAGTTTGCGTTGGGGTTTGGAATGGACTACAAGCCGGTCTCTTTGAATCCATCTTCTACCTTTGACGCACGAGTTGTCTTCACTGATGCGGAGAATGGCGGCGCCAGCGAATACACAAACCTGCGAGACATAGCCTGGTGAGCGTGAACGCGCATGACGTCACGCCCAGTCTCAAATTCGAGCCCGAATCCCTCTTATATATTTTACTGTACAGGATTATAGAGGCAATCTCAGTGCGCAGAGAAGGGCTCATTCAGCCCATCAGGCAGTTCTTTAAGCATGTATAGGATAGAAAAACAGGTATTTTTAACATGAAAAGTTGCGCAATCCACCTTTAAGATTAATCACAACTGCCTTATTCTATTCTACAGATACTATTTTAATCTTTTTTTCTGTTTTATTACAGTGACAACATAAACAATTATTTAATTGAAGAAACAAAATGTTGTTTTTGTAATATCATGCTAAATATTTTTTTCACAATATACACTAATGTTTTTTTAAAGACGTCTCTTATGCTCCAAGGCTGCATTTATTTGATCAAAATCCAGTAAAAACTAAAATATTGTGAGACAGGTTTGTCAAATATTGTGATTATTAGAATTTAAAATAACTTTTGTATTAAAATATAATTTATTCCTGATGAAAAGCTGAATTTTCAGCATCATTACTTCAATATTCAGTGTCACATGATCCTTCAGAAATCATTCTAATATGCTGATTTGCTGCTCAAGAAATATTTCTTATTATTATCAATGTTGAAAAGTCCTTACATTCACTTTTGATCAACTGAATGCATCCTTCCTGAATAAAAGTAAAAATTCCTTTCCTGACCATAATCTTTTGAAAAGCATTTATAGCTGCTTTTATATTTTAGGAAGGAGTTTCCTCCATCATTATAACTGTGGGTCCTCCTTGGCATCAAAAAGTCTGAAAATTCCTGCTTTATTGTATGTATTTCTCAAACAGAAAATTGAAGTGTTCTCTCTCCTAGGCTACTTTGATGCTCGTGCTCTGGCAGTGGACTACAGGACTTTGGGCTTTCGGGAGTGTGTTGGGGAGGTGGTGAGATACCTCAGCTCTCTGGAGGGGGTTGAATCCTCAGACCCCATCGGCGCGCGCCTGGTGTCCCACCTCAGCCACTGCGCCAGTGAGCTGGACCCTCTCCTCCAGAGCTCCACCGCTCTGCCTTTTCCTCCCTGGCCCTGGCCTTCCTTCCCTCAGCTAGCAGCCACCTCATCTCCAGTCTCATCTACCCCCTTTCCCCCAAACGCTCGCCGGGATCTGACCCCCCATGCCACCGCCGCCATGCTCGGCTACCCTTCAGCGGCCCTGCGAATGGGATCTTTGGGCACCCAGGGGGCGATAATGAGTCCAGCGCTGACCCCGGTGCGTCGACTGCCCTCTATCCCCGGCCATCCTCACAGACTTCAACAGCACTCACCTGACGGACACACAATCCCCTCCTCATCTTCCACCAACTCCTCCCCTCCCCAGATTTCCTTCAGACCCTTTGCCCCTCTGGGGTCTCCAGCCCCAGGTCGCAGGGGTTCCGGTACCTCCAGTAAGTCCGCACAGGCCTGGGGCACAGAAATCGGGGCGTTCTGAATCAGCATTACGGAGAAGTTTGGAGTTTATGACAGTCTGAAGGGACAAATAAATCTTGGTCATTTGAACTTATTTACCACCTTTAAAAGGAACTACAAAGCATTGGACAATTCAAATTAAAATGTTTATTCAGTACCATCTACTATTCCAACTCAAATGACATTTAGAAATAATAAGAAAAAAAAAAGTCTGATTGTTTACAGAGACAAATAGGAGGGAAATTAAATGGACTGTATAATCCAAGTCAAAATCAAAGGCAAATGCAACTCTCTGAGAGACTAGATGTGATAAATGAAATGCTCAAAGCAATTCAGTGCTTTGAACTTGGATTTCGAGATCCAGATACTGGAATTTTCTAGAACTCTGATCTTTTATCTTTTTTTTATATTAGTGTATTTGTTTACTCTGTCATTTATACATTAATTTCCTATGGATTCTGACATGATATATCATATTTTTGAGATGGAAATGCTTGAGGAAATTACATAAAGAGAAATGTGCCTTATAAAAAAAGCGTTACTCTTCTTCTCTTAATTGTGTGTGCAACTACATTGAGCTTCCAGAAGATGGCAGCACCAGAGCAAATCATTAAAGGAATAGTTCACTTAAAAAATAAAATTCTGTCATAATTTACTCACCCTCAAGTTGTTTCAAACCTTTATGTATTTCATTTTTGAGCTGAACACAAAGGAAGATACTTTGAAGAATGTCGGTAACCAGACAGTTGATGGGCCCCATTGACTTCCATTGTAGGAAAAAAAATACTATGGAAGTCAATGGGATCCATCAACTGTCTAGTTACCGACATTTTTCAAAATATCTTCTTTTGTGTTCAGTAGAAGAAAGAAATTCATACAGGTTTGAAACATCTTGAGGGTTAGGAAATGATGACAGAATTTTCATTTAAGTGAACTATTCCGTTAAGATTAAAAACAACTGTTTATTGAATTTATATACTCCTTTAATCCCTTTTTGTTTGTTTTACACTGCGCATAAAACACAATTATTCAGTTGAGGAAAGAACATGTTGTTTTTGTAACATCATGCTTTTCTCACAGTCTACAAAATTTTCTCACGATATACACTCCTGTTTGAAAGTTTGGGGTCAGTAAGATTCTTTTAATGTTTTTGAAAGAAGCCCCATGCTCACCAAGGCTGCATTTATTTGATCAAAAATAAAGTAAAAACAGTAATATTGTGAAATATAATTATTACAATAAAAATTACTTTTCTACTTTATTTTAAAATGTAATTTATTCACGTGACAGCAAAGCTGAATTTTAAGCAGCCATAACTCCAGTCTCTTGATCACTTACTTGTGTATGCAAGTATATATCTACCAGAAGATGGCAGCACTAGAGCAAAATATGATGATCAACTCTCTCAGGGACATTCTGAATGTATCATTTTGTAACAGTTCCCTTTTCCTGAATCAAAAAAAAAAAAAAAATCAATAAAAAAAATCAATGGAAAACTATTAGCAATATATATATATATATATATATATATATATATATATATATATATATATATAATTCTATACCGGACACCAACTGAGTTCTTTTATTAGAAAGCCAATTAAAAAGTGAGTCAAATATAAAAGAAAGTGCCTACAAAATTTAAAGCAGAGATATAGCCTACTCACCACCATACTAAACTGACTCTTATCTGAAAGACTCCTCTGGGTGCTATAGACTCTAAAGCAAGGTGCCATTTAGAGCGTCTGTTTTTTCTAGCTGTCTCCAGAGAGGTTGATGAGAAGAGAACACTGCGGTACAGCGGCCACTCAGACAGTGAAAAAACGGTGGCTGCTGGCCCTGATCCTGCAACAGCAAGAGGAAACCAGGAACACTGTGTGCCCTCTCAGTGCCTCTGCCAACCACTCTCCATACAGGCTGTAATTAGAGTGAAACCAAACTAACTTCAAAACACACAGGAAATAAAAATCTCTTCGCACACATCCTCACGCTTACATTGAGGAAACAGAAAATGATTAGGGATATTATCGTAAAATAAACCTGACAGGTTGATCAGGAGCCGCCGCGGAACGGAGGGGTCTTGATTTACCCTGAAAAAGGTTAACAACAGCTGACTGTAAACTATTTCCTACATCGCATACTCAAAAAAAAATAAAAAAAATAAAAAAAAATAACGCATAGCCTAGGCTACACACCAAATAAATAGCTACGGACATGAAATAATAATAGCCAAACATAGTCCATTATATGTACAAACAAACAAATCTGCCTAGCAACAAAGACGAATATAGCAACAGTAATATAGCCTACTGAAGTCATTTGAGGTCATTTTCTCTAAACAAGAACTAAGACGCAAGATGGCGCAGTATGAAACGGGAAAGCGATTCCGACACGACTCGGAAAACACTGTGTAATTTGAGAAATCAATAGACAAAACCACAAAACAAAAAGTTATTATGGAAATACCTTATTCATAAACTTATAGTTTATTTAGCGGGACATTACACAGTAAATCTTTCGTTTATTTTCACATTTTTTCTTGCATTAGATATTAACAATAGTAAATTCTAGAAAGTAGTAAACAGAAATATTTCAGAATTTTACTCGTGAAAACTCTGCCATTTTAGTGTTTACAAATGTAAAGCACGCAGCCATCTTTCGAATTTTGTGTTCGAACTCCCGTTTTTGCTCTTCGATCGCTGTCAAGAGTTTGTGAAGTGGATTTACTTAGGCTACTGTAGAGTTAACGAAAGTTATCATAAGCATTGTAATGTTTGAAGGGTATGTCTTAACAAATGTCAGTAGACCAGGACGATTTTAAAACGAGTCTTAAATCCGTAAGATCTTGCCTTCTTGCTGTGAAGATACAAACCGCGGGCATTGAAAAGAGGAGGAGCTCATATGATGTTCAAGCGATTAAGTGGCACAAGCTCCCAGAAAATTCAGTTGACAAATTGTAATTACAAGTTTTATGAGAACGTGGACGCTTTTTACAATTCACAATCTCGTAATTCTGACGTGGCATGAATAACGCACCCCACGAAATATGAAAGTAAGGCTGGTTTCAGTTACCCGGATGAATGCATTGATAGGCTATAGCGTTGCCATGGACGACTGCGAATATTAGGTAATGTTATTTGATCACTGAATGCAGTGATTGACCAACGATAATCAAATATTCCACAGTGGAGTTAGAAATATAATTACAAATCCCAATCGCAGGAATGACAGAGCAAAGTCGTAGGCTATTTACAAGTAGGAAACTCACAATAGATACACAAGTTGCAGAGTAGTGACGTTGGACGGGGCATGTTGATTTAAAACATGGTGGGAACAGCAATATACAATATAGATAATTTAATATGTCTGTAGAGATCACTGATTAGAAAGCAAATCAAATGGTGTTAGTGAAAGTTAATCACTCAACTTTCATGGGTTGCTTTATGTCATACAAACAAAGTTGTAATTCCATGTAAAAATACTAGAAATTAATAATTTTCATAATTTTGAATTCAAATGAAGTATCTGGGTTTATTGTTCGCAATATAAGACTTTTGCTTTACTTATTCCACTTCCATGATATGTTTTCGACTTGAATGCGAAATAACAAGTTTGAAGTGCTGATGCATATAGGCCTACTTTAAATAATAAGGAATAAAAAGATGTGACAGTGCTGTGCAGTTACACAAAAGTGCAAATGAACAAATGCTATGACAGGGCATCCATTATGTCTGATTCATAAGAAACAGAGTAGCTTCCCAACAACACCACCGGAAAGATGGTATGCATCATTTACAAGACGGTCTCAAATTAAGATTGCCGTTGACCATGAAAACGGAATAATCATGTGTTTTACCACTAAAAGAGCAATTAAAACACATCAAAGTGTTGGTCTGTGTGAAGGAGAAGTGATGCTTTTTTTTTGGTTCTTGGGTTGTTGTTTGTTTGGTTGGTTGTGCGCTTTCCCCAGTTTGAGCATTAAAATGGGCATGGAATGTGAGTATGCGTGTGCTAGACTGTGGCGGGACTGTGTGTCTGTGAGGGATGTGGCGCAACGAGGAAACATGGGGCAGATTCTCATGCGAGTGGCGTGTGTGATTGTGTGTAGAGAGACTTGCTTGTGAGCGCTTGCTGTTTATGTTAGTGAATGTTTAGGCATGAGTGTGTGTGTGTGTGTGTGTGTGTGTGTGTGGACGGACGTGTGGAAATAGTCCTCGATTCTTTTGGCACCAGTAGAGTCAGTGCTGCAACCACAGCTTCCAGTATGGGCCACCACAATCACACGAGGCCAGCTTTCCCACGGGGAGGGGCCACGGAGAGAAAGAGCACTAAAGAAGGAATATGACACACACAGAGGAACAGGCAGGGTAGATATTTTCCTGTCAACATGAAAATAAGTCTGTAAAAATTGAAAGTTTCTCCTGATCAGGAAATCTGACCTGAGCTTGTTTCTTTAGCATGGAACTGGGAAATCTTTACCATAATTGTATTGTTGCTTTGATGCATTGTCTTCAACATCTCACCCCATTTTACACTATACTATGCGGACTGTGGCTAATTTAACCATTTTTTGATGTATAACAAACTGGGAAAGCTACTCTAGCATAGTATCTGTGTTTTCACTGCAAAGTTTGTCATTATAATGACCAGTGTTGGGGAAAGTTACTTTTAAAAGTAATGCATTACAATATTGTGTTACTCCCTCAAAATCAACTAATTGCGTTACTTTTTATGGAAAGTAATGTTACATTACTTTTGTGTTAGACCTGTTTTTAATAACAAAAAAAATGTTATATTTTTGGCAAATTTAAAAAAGGCCCTTTCATCAAAAAAATTACGTCAGGGTTTCCCAAACTCTGGTTTGTGAAGGGACTGCCGGGGGTTCGTAAGTTGATGAAAAGGTCAAATACAATTAAACCATAAAAATTTAAACATTTTCAATAAAAACAATCAAAAAAAAAATTTTTTTTTTACATTTTTTATGCAGTGTGTCCTTTGACTTTCCACAAATTCCACAAACTGAAAGACATGCATAAGCAATAGGCTGTTTTAGAAAGAACAATTTAAAAGATAAAAAATAAGAATGAATGAGAATTAATAAAATCATGTAATCATGTTTACGTAATCAATAAAATCATAACTGTAGTCTGATTATGAGTATCTTAAAATTTAATATAATCTAATTACAAGCATATATTTTTTAAAATCTGATTACGTACTTCAGATTACATATCAGTTACTGCCCAGCACTGATAATGACTTACAATTAGTGAAGACAGCCTTGAGCGATATGCACTGAAATGTAATGTACAGTAAATGAGCCTATCAAACTACCCTACTGTACATGATACACTGATAATAGTGTATCATCCTCGTATTAGCTATCAACAGATACATTATAAACATCATTGCCCTCTACTGGTCATGTTCTGAGAAAATCATCCCATAAATACAAGTGGTTCTCAAACTGGGGCCTCAGCTAACTTCCAAGGGGCCCATGGGATGACTTGGATGTATTTAAATGGATAAATGTTTTAATAGTTAAAATTTATTTGTAGCTAAATTAACCCAGTGAAATGGAACTTGAATTATAATTTTACCTTCATTGAGAGAAGATATTACAATGAATGACAAAGGCCTACACAAAAATCACCTTAACTTTAACTCAAAAGAAAAGCAGTTCTATCATTAATGAGACTTGAGTTTCTTTGTCATGACAAATTAAGATAATACTAATACTAATAATAATAAAAAATCAATTTAATAATTTAATAGCTTTTAATTTCACAGAATATAATATTGTTGATACCACAGATTTACCATGGAGCTCTTAATCCGGTCAAGATATTGAGAAATGTGTGTGTAAAATGCATGATTTGTTGGGTTCTTCTCAGCCCAATCCCCAGCTAGTGATCCCTGACAGATACCATGTGTTATCAGCCTCACACACAAGTTGACCTCCAGAATAACCCTGCCAGTCCAGAGAAAAAAAAGTTTTTTTTTTTGAGAAAAAGAATATGAACTGAGATGTTGCCATCAGCTCTAAAGACACTTAGAACAGGCACATTAGTAACAAAGAAATTACCAATAATAAACATTTATTTACAACAATTAATGATTATGACAACCGACGCGCATAAACTTTCCACATATATGTAGCACATTAGGTTGAAAATAACAAAATTTTCCTTAAAGTGACAATAACCTATTTATCACGAAGCAGCGGAGACATAGGGCCTACGTCGTTTGTTTATTATTTAGTTTACAATAATGTGAAAATGATGTTGACTGGCTATAGCAAAATACTTTTGTTATATGTGTGAGTGTATTTGAAGGGAGAGACAGTGCTGCAGACTACTTGCCACTTGTTTTTGCGATGATGGATCCGCCACAATGATGCTTGCCGAGGCAATTTAGCCGTTCTTGTGTAAACACCCCTAACGCCTTGATTGTGAAGAGGTGCAATTTTCCACAATCCATCTTCCATGTGACAAACAACCATTCAGAATGATTATATTTTTCGAGACTCTGTTAGAGTTTTCTGTTCATTTTCGAGATCAAGTTCCTGTAACATTTGACGGGATTTATAACTCCCCTCCAAGTGTAGCCTACGACAGTGTGTTGCTCTGACGCACGTGCACCTGCAGCCAGTGTTGCCAACTATTTTCAAAGGAAAGTAGCTAAGGCCTTCCCTAAAAGTCGCTAAATGTCGCTAGATGACGTCATACGTCAATTAGCATTTTAATGACGTCATCGCGCCGTACTTGCGTTCTGTCAGCCTAGTGCGTTCCCTTTCGAGGGAACTCGCGATGCGTCACTTGACGCTTTGGGAACGCCCCCAGCGTGAATGCGTCTGAGCATCAATGTCAACTAGTCCAATGGAAAGAATGAGCGTCACGGGCGGGTGACGTCATGACCAGGAAGGCATAAGAGCACATCCGGTGAAACGCGGCATTAGCTTCTGTGTCTCAGCAAGCGATCTGTGTTACTCTGTCTCTGTCTATTTATTGTTGTCTGTTCGATATTATTGGGAAGAGTTATGGCGAAACAACTTTACAAACTCTGTGCTTCTCCCTGCCCGCGTTATTTAACGGGTGGGGACACACACGAGCTTTGTGTAGTTTGTTTGGGAGTGGAGCATGCGGTATCAGCCTCCGAGGGGGCTGATTGCAACATTGTGAGAAGCTTTCGCTTCGCATGCTCCACTCCCGCCTGTCACTTTTCGATCCTCGGGGTGCAGGACACGCGTCTGCCGAGGCAGCGCGGAGAATGCATTCCTGTGGATCGCGAATAGGATCTCGTTACGGGGTTGGAGACGGGTCCGCGGATCTTATCTCCTCCCTTTCCACGAGGGATCCAGTGCTCTCTCTCCGGTCTCGGAAGCCCGCGCTGCGGTCTCTTCCGCCCGGGGAGAGAAATCAATGCTTCAGTGCTCTACCCCCGAGGAGGTAGATGTGCTGGGCATTTAAAGTGTACACAATCATGGGGGAAGTGGATTTGCCATCTCTTCCCCAGCGTATGAGAATTATATATAGCCTATATATATATATATATATATATATATATATGACAGTTTAAATATTATATATAAAATAAAGTGTATATATATAAAGAATGTATAAAAAAAAAAATATATATAATAATAATAAGCTGGTGGAGGTGTTTACTAAGGCTGTAGATAAATTAAATATTTAATGGCCAGCAGAAATAAGGGGGCACTCGTCCTTAAAATAAATTGAACGAGTTTCCTTCCCTCTATTTTTCCACCTCCATCACGGGGCCTTCCATTTTTCCCGATCTGCACAGCGAGCTGTCTAGATCATGGAAAAAGCCTTACTCATTTTTTAGCCCCACATTCATGTATATTCAGATTTTTGGGGGTTAAGAGAGTATGGCTATGGGGCAATACCCCGGGTAGAACAGACACTTGCGAGCTATGTCTCCCGGTTCAGTATCGTCCCTGAAGGCGTCGGCTTCTCTCACTAAACCATTAAAGAAAACTATTTTTTAATCTAGTGGGAAAAGCATATATGGCAGTGGGTCTAGCACGAGCCTGCTTGCACACTATAGCAGTGCTGCAAGCATATCAGGCTGACCTGCTGTGGTATTTGGACAGAAGTGAGGGAGTTTGTCCTGATGGGGTTTGAGAACTCCGTCGGGCCTCAGATTTATCTCTCAGGGATGGCAGCCAAAGAAATGTGGTCACTGAGAGACACCTCTGGCTCAATTTGATGGGAATCATGGAGAAAGATACAAGATAATCTCTCCCTCGCTATGTCCAACCCACTGGGGCTGCTGGGTGTGAGCAGCTCCAGCCGGCTAGTTTCTCATACACAACACAGCAGCCAAAGCCTTCAAAGCAGAAGCCGGATCCGAGGACCGTTCTTCATGCTGAGAAGGCTGCGGCTCAAAAGAAAAGGTCTGGCGCCACGGCGTCAGACCGGTGAGGGCAGCCCCAACCGGGGTGGAATGGTGTACACCTCATTATACGGTGCCCTTTCCATCTCTGTGCCCTCAGGGGACCGTTCTGCCAACCCCGCCACCCTTGGTGCTTCGGGGAGCAGCGTTCTCCAGCGAGCTTCTGGCGCAGCGTCAACTCGACATTGCGTCGGACTCGCGCCCTCTGAGGGGGGTTCGAAAACAGTCAGTTCGGGTGGTTCCTGCCAGTATGTTTCAGGTCCCCGAACTGGCTGTCTTTATTACACCAGAGGCCAGCCTCGAGGGGCTGGTTCCCTTGGTAGATTTTCTGGCAGCGCGGAAGCTACTGCCAAATATATCTCTATGGGTAATGGTAATCTCTCTGGTAATGGAGCAAGGGGTAAAGGCCCTGTTAGCAAAGAAAGCTATAGAGCAGGTGTACTCACCCGACATTGCGTCGGGTCTTTACAGTCGTTATCTCATTGTTCCAAAAAAGGATGGAGAGCAGCGTCACATACTAGATCTTCGTCTGTTGGAGTGTTTGGTGCTGGAACTCAAGTCCAAGATGCTGACACTCAAACAGATCATGACTCAAATCAGATCCGAGGACTGGTTTGTCACGATAGATCTAAAAGACGTATACTTCCATATCTCCATCCTCCCTCAGCACAGGAGGTTCCTGAGGTTTTCTTTGGGGCAAAGAACACCAGTATCAGGCACTTCCTTTCGGTCTAGCTCTATCACCCCTAGGGCTGCAACAAACGATTATTTTGATAATCGATTAATCTAACGATTATAAGAACGATTAATCGACTAATCGTCGATTATTTCGCAGACTAATCAGTAAGTTTGGAACGATTATTTAGCTTTTCCAATTAGTTAAAACATTGAGTTATACATATTCTAACTATAATATAAAAGAAGGAAATCACTTCAGCTTTTGAAATAGTTGTTTT